GCAGACTTAACTCACTGTTCTCCATCTTTCAACAAGGATGTTGTTTATACTGTATCTACAGGTTCATTAATCAACCCATACACCCAGAGGTTGCTATTCCAGGATTTTGGACCTTAGTTTATTGTCACCTGTTCTACAATTCACAAGATCAACCAGAGGTTGAGATGAACAAGGCCTGTTGACCCATTTAATCTCATTCTTCCAGATTACCCACCTTACCATCCTCCTATCACAGCACTTGAATGAGTCCAGCATCTTGGTCTCAACTTACTTTCTGGTAACCAGCAGCAAGCAACTAAAAAGACGAACGGCATGTTAGCGTTCATTGCAAAAGGTTTAGAGTACAAGAGTAGGGAAGTCTTACTGCAACTGTATAGGGCCTTGGTGAGACTGCACCTGGAGTATTGTGTGCAGTTTCGGTCTCCTTATTTAAAAAAGGACATACTTGCCCTAGAGGGGGGGCAGCGTAGATTCACTTGGTTAGTTCCTGGGATGCAGGGACTGACCTATGAGGATAGGCTGAATAAACTAGGGCTATAATCTCTGGAGTACAGAATTAGGGGAGATCTTATTGAAACATGTAAGATTCTTAAAGGGCTGGATAAAGTAGACACTGAGGGTCTGTTTCCCCTGGTAGGAGAATCTATAACCAGGGGTCACAGTCTTAAAATTAAGGGTCAGCCTTTTAGAACAGAGTTGAGGAAACACTTCTTCACTCAGAGAGTAGTGAATTTATGGAATTCACTCCCCCAGAAGGCTGTAGATACTCAGTCCTTGAACATCTTCAAGGCTGAGACTGATAGATTTTTTAAAAAACAGAGGGATTACGGGACATGGGGATAGGGCAGGTAATTAGAGTTAGGTCTGAAGATCAACCATGATCTTATCGAATGGCGGGGCAGGCTCGAGTGGCTGAATGGCCTACTCCTGCTCCTATTTCTTATGTTCTTATGTTCTTATGTTCTAACCTGTTCCAGTCATTAATTACCCTCTGGGCAAAGAAATACTGTACTTCCTAGTGTTGGCCCTGAAATTGCCCTTTGCAATTCTAAACCTAAGTCCTCTTGTTCCTGCAGTTTTGATGCATTGAAAAGTATTTTTCTGAGTTTATTTTCTCAACTCCATTTAAGATCCTTTATAATGTTCCCTATGAGATCTCCTTCAAAACTAGAGCCCTAGTTTGTTTAATCATTGTTCACAACGACAACAACTCGCATTTTTATAACACCCTTCAAGCAGGACAATGTCTCAGAGCTCATTCCTCTAACACTGGGGATCAACATCATTGTTCATCTCTGCACAGTCTCCAAAGGCTTGGGCAGCTCCTTTATGTCACTGTGACCAGAACTGTCTGTGGCTGATTAGTTGTGTCCTGATCAGAGCACTATACAGCTTCTCTAATCAATATTATCACAAAAGCACAATAAGTAAAGCATCTGTTCTATGCCCAGTACATAACTCTACACTTTACTGTAGAAATGTTACCTAAATCATGTAAATCAACCCTTAACCCATAACTGTAACCAATACAGTTCTCTGTGTTGGCCAAAATTCACATGTAACTATGTGTCAGTGGAATGTGACTATACGCAATACAACAGATCCCACAAATAATAATAATCTTACATTTGGCATAGCACTTTATCACATCAGGAGGATGTCTCAAAGCGCTTTATAGGATATACACAGAAGGAAAAACTTCCTTCTTTTCAAATAATAAATCTCTCCTTTATCATCTCTCCTAGTAAAGGTCTCCATAACCCTTAATATTCCTTGTTTTGAAGCAATGATTTGATTCCCTTTTAAAATAATTTATAGGCTCTTTCCAGCCGCACAGGAAGCACTAGGGACAGGGATTCTTCCCACTTATCTCCTGTTCACCTGCAAACCAAAGTCCTAATGTGTAGGGTGGTCTGAGCTGGACAAGCAGCAGGAAGCTTGCCAAGATTTTCAGCATTTCCTGCTTCGATCTCTTGATTATTCTGAGACGCCTTCCATAGATTCCTAGAATATTACAGCACACAAGTAATCCATTTGGCCCATCTTGTGTGCACTGGTGAGTTTCTCCACAGACGCCACCTAATCTAATCTGACTTGCCTTCCTGCTCTCCATAATCTTTAATATTCTTTATTTTGAAGCATTGATCTAATTTAATTTTAAACTTTTTTTTAGGTTCATTCCAATGGGGCAGGGACCAGTAGGAGAAGAGATTCTTCCCACTCAGCCCCTGTTAACCCTGCAAGCCAAAGTTCTATTGGGTACGTTGAATCTAGATGGCCAAGCAGTGGGAACCTTGTCAGTCAGTGCTCTCAGTGGCAAGCTATGTGGTTTGAGTTGGTTAAAGTCCAGCAGTACTCCAACGCACATTTACCAATCTGCGCCTAAAACTTTCTGGATGAGCACTCCAGAGTGCTTGTCAGACACATATAGGCTGACCCAAAATAAATCCAGTGAATGTTGTGCCATGTTCTCTACAGCAGAGGGCATCAGTGTTGCATTAAACCAGGAGTTGTCTTTTGGATGAGTGAACAACAGTTTTTGTCGGGATGTTGAACTCTATTGATGGAGAAGCAAGAGAGTTTCAGATTTATAAAAGCATAATCAGCTAATTGTTTTCAGAATATTGTATTGAACTAACATTTCCAAGGAAAATATTTAGAGGTTGATAATGGTTCATCAAATCAAACTCGCTTTATGTGAGTTCGTAGCAAGAACATTAGCACTAAATGGAAAAAGACATTCATCCCATCAATCTCACTGCTTCACATAGAAAGTGTTCCCTATCATAAATAATTGTAATTAAACTTTGTAGTAAAGTCCTGTCAAGTGCCTTGAGATGTTTTGATGTCATAATAATAATAATAATAATAATAATCCTTGCATTTGATATAGCGTTTTTCACATTTTCTAGACTCAGCGCTTTACAGAATGTACTGTAAAGTGAATTGACTGATTGACTGTATATTTGTGGGAGAAATGCGGCAGCCAATTTTGCACAGCAGTGTCCCACAAACAGTCGTGGATTGAGGTGACCAATTTATTATTGTTTTTTTTGCTTGAGGGATAAAACACTCTATTAAATGCACGGACTATTATAATATATTTTTGGATACCATTGTTTCCCTTTCTTCCTGATGAAGGTATTCTGTTGCTGTTTCTTATTTTGCTGAGAATAAGCAAAATTCATAGGTTTATGGGAAAACAAGGTTTCATCTTAAACAGTAACTGGATTAAATTGTCTTGGTCAGTATAAGAATAACAGATCATCTCAAGAACTATAAAAAAACGACTTCAAAATTAAGACTGCTAACAATTTGCCATCTTCTCCATCTTCGGGTCATACTTGATGATCTTCCTTTTCAATTGTGATTAAGGTCACCTCGCCCATCGTTCTGGCTTGGTGTTGTGCTCCACCATGTCAAGTGCTCTGGCACGCTACCCTGTGTGAAGGGCGTATGTAATTGCAAGTTGTTTTTGTTGTTGTTGCATTATCAGTTAGTGATCCAATGGGTAAAAGGCACCACCAGATACAATGTCGAAAAGGATTACTTGTGTTAGTTAATCCCATTTTGTCATGGCTCAAAAAGAATTTAAATGAAGCTACACCACACACCATGCTCAGTCAGTGTGAAATCATAATGTGGATTTTGATAGGTAAATACATAGATTTGTTTCCAGCATATTCATTTTTACAAAATGAATAATACATAACCTCTGTAAATAATAATAATCCTTGCATCTGATATAACACTTTTCACGTCTTCTAGACGTCTCAAAGTGCTTCACAGAATATACTGTAGTGAATTGACTGTATATTTGTGGGTGAAAAACGGCAGCCAATTGCGTACAGCAGTGTCCCACAGTCGTGGATTGAAGTGACCAATTTTATTATCGTTTTTTTTTCTTGAGGGATTATTATCAGGCGTATGGAGTAAGAAAACTTGCCCAAGGTTTCGCCCTACCGGGAATCAAACCCAGATCTCTCGCTTGCAAGGCGAGTGCTCTAACCACTGAGTTACAAGACTCCTGCTGCAAATATATCCTGCAGTTTAAAAATATATATTTTTTCCAACCAATTAACTTCCTGACGTCTGATTATTATTAATATTAATATTATTATTCCACCCATTGTGAGTGGTTTCAAGGGCATCAACACCCGCTGGTACTCTACCCAATTAGCTGTGGAGCCTTGCTAGTGAGTATTGGGCTGTTTGACAAGGAGGGGCGTAGAAGGCATTGCAGCCAAATCCACTCCTGCTGTTCTCTGACGTCCATACAACCACAGATAAGCTGGATAAAGTGAAGCTTTGTGGATATTTCTCCTCCCTAGAACAGTAACTTCACTGTTATACAGGCTGAGATCAGCTAACTCAGTGTAGGCCAGGATTATGAACCTGTAACTTTCTATCTTTAGCCTCCTGCTGCATTGCAGTATCTTTACCCACTAATAGGCCAACGGGAAGTTATGATTATCCACAAACTTACAAGTAAGTGGTTTCCCTCACATTGAGCATGGCTCAGTTTAATTCCTATTCCCTACCCTGATTGTATTTCTGTTGCTTTGGTTCAGACGAAGAGCTGATCCCTAATCCTCATGAAAGAACATCAGCAACAGCAGTTACATGTTTCAAAGACTTGCACGAGTTCTAGCAGCTAAGCTTTTGACTTGAATCTTGGCAAACACCATCCCTATAATTACAACTTGGGAGAAGCTTGAGTGATCTTCAAGTCATTTCAAAACCTATCCAGCTGTCTAGCATTCTCTAACCACTGGTGGCAGAAAACACAAGGAAGTCACACAAGATGAGAGGCAAAGTGTCTTATGATTTGCTAAGTGTCCTGCATCGTGTGGGCAAGTGTTCCTGTGAAAACAGCTCCCTGTTATTCCAAGTACTGACTACGACAAATACTGGCACAAATAACAGAAAGTGGACCGCAGTGTTGTGCATTTTGTCCTAACACAGAATAGAGTAGTAGTAAAAAGACAGACATTTCAATCTGCGTTGTGAAAATATACAATTTTATTTCTTCAGAAGCTACCAGTCAAGCTGGGAAACATTCTTCAACCTGTGCAAGTAATCTTGAGCAAACTATTAAACTGCAGCAACAGCTACATCATTCAGTGGCTCTTTCCATTGTACACAATGATTAAGGCTCTGAGACAACCTTTCTTTAATCTCGTATGTATGTACAGTAAAAGCAGGTTCAATTACAACAGTGGCTCAAGCTCTTAGCAAACTAATCCTATTTTACTATAAATTGAGAAGTTTTCACTATTTTATGTCATTCATCGAACAAAATAAAGCTCTTAGTTCTGAATCCCATTTAATAATGGCTTGGCTAACAATGACTGGCAGCAAAGACTTTTATTTGAATAAGTCTGATGCTCACTTGAGATAATTGTGAAAGTATCTCAATTTGTATTAAATGACAAATGGCGCAATGCAATGCTGGTATAATGCTCTTTGCACCTAGTTTCTGACACCTACCAAACATTGCAAGTATCTATTGCAACTCTGAGCAATTCAAACACTTGTGCTTTTACTTACAGAAGATTGTTGCGTAAGTGTTGATAGTGCTTTCCACATTTTGCACTGAACAGGAAAGGAAGCAAAAAGTCATTTGCAAGGGAGAGCTACAGCATTTATGGCTGACATATCTACCGAGATGGGAGGCAAGTTATCACTGGTTTCTCCATGACTACTGCAGCTTACTCTATTCACTTTAACGCAGCTCTTTTGCTCTCCTAGCTAACAACTTAATCAACTTGCAATATCCAGACAGAGGAGTCGATAAGAAAAAAAGTTGCTATTTTATGAAGTTGTCTTAACACTTTGAAATATCTCAAAAGTCATTTTAGATGTAGTGAACATTTGTGTTGAGATTCTCATGTGAATGATAAATTAAGCTAGAGATTTGTAGGTTAATATACCAGGAGAAACTCCCTTCTATTTTTGAAGAGTGTCACGACATCTTTAAAGTCAATTAAACAATCTCATCTCAAAGATAACACCTCGAATAATGCATTGCTCCCACAGAACTGTACTGGAGTGTAAGCTATGAGCTCAATTCCCCAAAAGGAGTTGATCCCACGATGGTACCTCTGTATGTATACAAGACATGCTACACCAGAAGTTGTTTTGCTCAGTCTGTGCACTACTGCCTGTTAGGGATATCAAGCATAGCAGTTTGACTTTTTTTTCAATATTTTTAATACATTATACAGCTCCATCTTTTCCACTGAGGTCAAGGAATAGATGCCTGAATTGCACACTGAGATTTCTTGTCGCAGCACAAACTGAACCAAGTTGTCACAACGTTGTGAATAATCTCTAACCACATTCAGAGTCAGGGATCTTCAACCTCATTTATCTACCATTCATTTTTGCTTTTGTTTGGATGTACATTGATGGGAAGCATGGAGAAGATTGTGTTGGACGCTGAAGCTCACTGGAGTGACCATGTACAGGAAGGCTTGACTGCATACCATGAGTAGATGGCAGCAATAGGTGGCAGAGAGGGATGTGTGAGGCTGGGGCTTGTGATGTCTGTGATATCTGGTTGTGACTGATTTAGGATTCATTGAGCGCAGAAGGTACCACCACTCAAGGAAGCCCTTAGTGCAGAGAGCATTATGCTGGCTGCACAATGTACTTTCCCAATGTAAGGGCAATATAGTGTTGTCCACGGTGTTAACAATCTTGCAGAAATACTAATGGGAAGTACCAAGTACAGAAATCTCAGTGCATCAGTCACTCTCAGTCTGCACTCATGCTAGTTCAGTGGCAGGTGGTAGGACAGCATAGCCTGAGGTCTAGCAACAGAGCCCAGAGCCATTCTCTGGGCAAAGTTTGGTTTATGGAACCCAAAGGAGGAAAACAAGCAAAATAGATTATGAAAGAGCTTACGGCTGAGATGGGGGGAGCAATAAAAATGTAAAGCATCATAGAAAATAAAAATTGTTGAGCTTTACCACAAACAGGAAGGAAAAGCTCAGCAAAAAGCAAAGCATGAGCAAGAATGGAACAAATAATCAAAGGAATGCGCAATGGAAGAAAATGTGGGAGAAGCGATTATAAGAGAAGTCCCATTATAAAGAAGTAACAAATGCATTGCTATTTTTAGCAATTAGTTTGCAGTAGATTCTACTGACTTGAAATAGCATCATTTTGCCTGACATGCTACGTTATCCTGGAACAGAAGAGTCACTTTAGGAAAGCACCTATGAATTTTACCCATTCCTTTTAATGGCAACCGAGAAATAGACTGGCACTGGACTTGCAGACAAGGCACAAAGCTGTACCAGTTCTGAATTAGACTGATAATTACCTACAATACAAAAGCATGGACATTGGTGCAGTTTGATGCTGTAGATCTGCTGAATATTATTCTCATTTAACAAACTACAGATGACCAGGTGCCTCACACATCATCCATAGCAATTCCTGTGAAGGGTATTCAAGGTCTTCTTAAGGTTATATGGGTCAATTTTTAATCAAAGACAAATGTTTGTGTTTTTCTGGAGCCTGAATATAAAACTGTTCAATGGGCATGTCTTGTTACATTAGGAATGACCTACCTTTGAGGCCATCAGTCCTGCAGTTCTTAACCAGATACTGTCATATAAACAGCTCAGTCAGTCAACTTTCTCTGTGTTTGGGATCCCACCCATATACTTTCACACAGTATTCATTAAAGCAATTAAAATCAGTACAGCCATGAAAAAATATCAATTATAATAACAATAACAATAAACTAGCATGAGTACCTAAAATGGCTATATGCAAAAGTGTATTTGGTGAATACATTTACCTCATTAATGTCTGAGGAACAAATAGCTAGCACGTCATAGAATTTTAAAACCTTAATATATATTTTGATTCATAAAATATGAGCCACAACACTTAATGATAAAAAAACATCTATTAATAATCAACAGATTCCATCCTTTTTAGGATCAACCAAATAGGAATCAAATTAAATAGTGTATTTGATTTAAATAACATCAAGTACTTAAAGGCACATCAGCATCTCAACCGTTATTGCTCCTGTGTCAGCAGTTTACAATGGGTGCTGTGGAATAGATGACTGCTTTCAAAAACCAGCTATTATCTCTGCTGCGAACTATTTAGACCACATACTTCACACTGAACTGGTTTCTTCTCTCATGGTGCAAGAAAGGAATTTGTGAAAAATTAAATTTGATACAATATTTTGCATATGCGGTGGTCAGTAGCAAAACTCTGCGTTACTACCTGGTTAACTTTACCCAACGTTATCTATTCTTTGCTTTCATCCTACCATTGACATCTAACACAATGTTGCTTCAATTGTTGGGTGCTTTGGATACTGTACAACATGTTTAACAAGCTATTATAGGCTGAGTCATTGACACTATGCCTGACCACTGGTTCTCTGGCCTTTATGTCCATTCAACAACCACTTAGGTTGGTTTTACAAAACATTTTGCTTAACCTCTGGATATAACCTATGTTTAAGCACCAGTGATATAAAAACAATGAGTTTTTTTTAAAAAGGAGAAAATTGGAAATTATCATGGGAGAAAAATGATTGTTTAAAATATTAAAATATCAGTCTTTAAGTGAGCTTTAGGTTTACACAGTCATTGAGCTCCTTGTTCTGACACAATTGCTTTTGCTGTTGAGTTATATACAAGGAACAAACTTACCCATGTAGTTATTGAATAGAACACTAGAGGGTGAAGTTTACGATTTACATTTTACTTTTCATTGAGCCAAACGAATAAGGTTTTTTGTTTTGTATTCACTGTTTTTTATTGACAATGTCCCAGGCTACAAATTATTCATTCACCTGAAAATCCTGTCAATGTCAACCTGCATGACTTCTTGAGTCACGCTAGTTTTATGCATTTCCTTCAGGAAGGCAATGAAGACAGTGCACATTACAGGAAATATAAAATTAGCTGTATAACCTAAAAATCACAAAAATAAACTAGAAAAATGTAGTTAATACTATAGAATTAGTAAAAGAGGCAAAGTGAATAAGCGTGCAAATGACTTTGCACTCAGGAAAATACCATGCACTTATTTTTCTGTCATTTGCACCTAGATTTAACTTATTTTGAAATAAACCTGAAACATCTCAGGGAACGTTGCCAAAGCAGCGAAGAAAATCCTAGATAGAAAGCACTTTGGTAGCTGTTGGTGTGGGTGCAGTGGACCATCCCTCAATGACAATGCTGGAACTGGAAGCTTAAGATCTTTTAATTCATATTTAATTTTATTTTAAAGAGTCGCTTTATTTCAAGTGTTCAGAACTCAGCAATAAGCTTGATAGGGCAAGGCAATGGAAAGCCCCAGTACGAAAGACTGGCTCAATTTTGGTTACTGACCAATATTCAAAAGCATAACTAAATACTTTGGCCTTTTATACATAATATGTCTCACCAGGAGTGGTCATATGTGAACTTTATAAGGCTGATTAGTCCTTATTTGTGTGAAGAATCACGTGAAATAAAATTATTGGAATTCCAAATGTTCCTGCGTAAGAGACTTCACTAACTAGGAACTCCTTAATGCAGCTCTCTGAGGCGCTACCTTGTGTAAAGGATCTTACATGAATGCAAGTTGATGGGCGGGGGAAGGAGGGAGGAGAGAGAGTGAACTTGGGAAAAGATGTAAGGACTCAAAGCGGTTGAGTCTTTCCATTGACATAGATAATGACAAGTGAGAGCTCCAGGCTTCAATGTGGACAATGATGAATGCACAAGAGAACACAAGTCAACAGAGGGCAGGAGAATTCTGCCCACAGAGTTGCCAACATGAACATGTAGATGTAAATGCCATGCAAATTCCTGAAATAAAGCAAGGCTTTGGAAACAGCCTTCATAATGAATGAATTAGTGGTCAAGTCATTACAAAAAAAAATCATACTCATATCTAGGATCAGTGCTTAATTAGAATTTGTTATTTACAAGTATGAAATAAACTAAAGCTGAGATGGTTGAAACATCAGGGTGCGAGTGAAAGTTTAGTGAAAAACCAAGGTAGAAAGCAGTCAGTGATATTAGGACCATTTTGTGTCATTAGCATTGATTCGAAATGAGCCTGTGTGTGTCTCTCTCTTTCCGTCTCTGAGTTAAGATCTCGAGAGCCTCCTTGCCACGTCCCCGTAAGCAGATTCGATTTCTCCATCTGCCGCACACGTGTTGGTGACTTCGTCTCTCCCGTAGGCGTTCTTCAGATACCGCCAGATGCCTGTCATTTCTGTTGGGATGTCGAAGTTGCGATACTTCTTTGCTACAACCTGCAAAGTGACCAAAGCATTCATCAGAAAAGCTTCCTTCTGCAACAGACCTTTTCCTACTCCTCCCACTTTGTTCTCATTGAAAGAAGGGATCCCAATGCCAGGGTTGAAAACTAACAAAACACCCTGCTTCCCAAGCAGGGCTGGGACTGGTTAAGTGTATTGCTATACTCAGCATATCTTAAAGAGCTTTGGGACGTTCTTATGACGTGAAAGGCTGTGTATCAAATGTAAGGATTATTAGAACACTGGCCATCATCTCTGCCCCAGTCTCAGTCTTTTCCTATTCTTCAGTCATGTGACATGTTTACGTAAAGGAGAAGATCCATCTCAAGACCTTCCTCTTTGACCGAATCTTCCATCATCCTTCCCTTTGCGCCCCTCTCGGCTTTCACCCTCTGCTCAGGTGCCAAGCCATCCCAACGTGATAAGCGCTATATAAATGTAAATTTGTTTTGTATTTTACTGAGCCACCCCAGGAGCTCAGTCTGTGAGATCCATTATATTTCCGTTGCTAAAAATAGTGAACTTTGCATTGCCTTTTTATAAAGGAAAGTCCCAATGATCTTCACCATTTTTATTCATTCCTTTTAATGATCAACATAAGAAGGCATTGTTGACTCTATCAATAAATGCATTGCATAGAGTTTTCATGTTAAAGGTTAGGTTACCTTCACGATGTGGAGTTTGGGTAGAAGGTTGCAATCGGCGAGTGTCAGATCATCTCCATCGAGGAACTTGCGATGGGATAAGTGCACATCATCCATGCTGTTGGCATCAATCTCTTCAGGCAGTGGGCTGTTCAGGTAATCATTCAGCTTCTGCATGGATTTGAGCAACTGTCTCTCCAAGCCTGAAAAAGCCGAACATTCCAGTCAAAAACATGCTTCCAACATTCTGCCTTCAGGATGAAACTCTAGTTAACTTCACTGCGATTAGATAAACAGGGTGCCTCCCTCTGGGAACTGAGTGCCAGACACTCTGTGCCAGACAAACAAGTACCATAGGTTTGTGGAACTCTCAGCAGTTGGTTTGGAGACGTTTACGTACAGTGATGGGTTTTCTTCCATGTCACATTCCCAGCTGACAAGAAAAAGGAGAAAAAAATGACAATTCGTAGATACGACAGGTGCAGTTCGGCAAAAGCCAAAACTTGGGGACTCCAGAGTGCACACTAGGGTTTTCTTGGAACTAAAAGATGAGCTAAAACACACAGCTTACCAATGTGAACCCTAGCAAAGTTAATACTTATATCCAGTGAGAACCCACCCCACTCCTGCCCATTAGGACTTTGGCTTGTAGGGTTATCAGCGCTCAAGTGGAAAGAATCCCAACCCCAATGACTGGTCTGTTCGTCCAAGCCCTGCAAACAAACCAGCCTGGCAGCCCCATCATGGACATGTACTGTGGACCTACCTGGCTCAGTAACTGGATGGACTACGGTGACCACCACAGAGGTCTGACACATGCGGAAACCCATCACCATGCTTAAGAGTATCCAAACCGAATTGAGAATTCCATGTATCCCATCTACACATGGAAATTCCAGAGATAGATAGTTGGAATGGAATCCGCACTCTCTCCCTGGAGGGATGCATCCTGTTTACTTGCTTGCATAAAAGTATTAGGTGAAGGTTGGCAAGAGCCAAGGTTTAGAGACCCCAGAGTGTGCATTGGACTACTGCTGGAGTCTAACCAGCTGAAGTGAAACTCAAAGTATTGCTTGCATTTTATGTTATTTGGATTACTTTCCCATCCGCACTTATCTAAATGTGACTTCAGAGCATGAGTGTTAGTAAGGATTTCATTTGCATTTATCACCCATACCACTAGGGAGCAATGTTGGATTGTTCTTAGATTAAAAAAACAACCGTTGCTTGTGAGGCAAGTGCTCTAACCACTGAATTACAGGATTTAAGAATTAAAAAACAAAATTTCCTGTCCATTAAATTCTCACTCTCCTAGAAAACAAGAGATCATGTGATTTTGTCTGTAAATCAATTTCTATTATAAAACTGAATGGGGGGGTTGTATCATGGAGGGTGAAGGGCATGGAGGGTAGGTGGGTGCTGAAGGCTCGGTCGAAGAGGAGTCTTGAGACGCGCCTTTAAGGTGGCAAGGGAGGGAGCGAGGCGAAGGGAACGTGGGATGGAGTTCCAGAGGATTGCGGCAGAGAGGCTGAGGGCGCCGATAGTGGGGTGGGCCAGGCGGGGGACATGGAACAGGCCGGAGCCTGCTGAGAGGAGGGAGTGGACAGTTTGATAAGGGGTTAGCAGCTCGGAGAAGTAGGAGGGGGCAAGGCTATGGAGGGCCTTGAAGGTGAGGATGAGAATTTTGAACTCGATCCTCTTCACCTTCAAGGCCCTCCATTGCCTTGGCCCCTCCTACCTCTCCGAGCTGCTAACCCCTTATAACAACCTAAGGGGGCCTAAACCCAGCTCACATTCCCTATTTAGTGGGTGAACAATCCAACGCTTGATGAATCCTATTTCACAACGGTAGGAAGAGCCAACATTGTTGTCTACTTAAAGCAGTGGTGACCAAAATTTTTTACAGACGGCCAACAAAATAACCTTACTGATTGAATATTTCTTGATTTATGCCCATAAATGAATAAATATTTTTCATCAAGAAAAAAACATAAACTATCAACACTACCAATCGAACACGAACTACCCAGACTCCTGCAAATGTTCGGAGGGCAGTTTCTTGACGACCACATTGGCCACCACTGAATTAAAGCTAAGCGTTTTATTATAAACAAAATGCCTGGTTCAGGAACAAGACTACCAAGATTGTCACAGAAGAATGACTCAACTTCGTTCTTACATTACCAGACATAATAATACAATTATAATCCTTACATTTGATATACAGCCTTATCACGTCTTCGAGACATCTCAAAGCTCTTCACAGAATATACCATAAAGTGAATTGACTGTATTTTATGGGCGAAACGTGGCAGCCGATTGCGCACGGCAGTGTCCCACAATCAGTCGTGGATTGAGTGACCAAATTATTATAATTTTTTTTAGGGGATTATTACTCCCGGAAAAACGATCCACCAATCAACTAACAACCAGGTTCCCACTTACTGCTAGCTAAACAAAGCTGTGTGGAGTAAGGAAACTTGTCCAACGCTTCGCTAAACCCAGGTCTTCTTGTTTGCGATGCGAGTGCTCTAACAACTAAGCTACAGGACATATCCGTTTGTGGCCAAGTCAGCACCAAAGAGACCTCATTTGGCTTTCTCACCTCAAGCGCTGGCCACATCAATCTGCACAGATGGATACTTCATCTCACATAGTCAGTGTGAAGCCTCGATGGTCTGTTCAACCCTCAACAGTCCTTTAGACCCTACATTGAGGTTCTCACTTGCTCTGCTTTTCCTCATCTCCACAACGTCACCTGCCTCTGCCACTACCTCCCTCCCTCCCTGGGCAGTTGAGACCCTCATTCACACCTTCATCATGTTAGACCATTAGCTCGCTGGGCTACCCAGTTACTCCATACATAAGCTGCAATCCATCCAGACCTCTGCAGCTCATGTCCTCTCCTGCACCAGACTCTGAACCTATCGCTCCTATTGTTGCTCAGCTCCACTGGCTTCTCATCCCCAACAATTCAAGATCCTTGTCCTTGAGTTCAAATCCCTCCATGGCCTCACCCCACAATAAATCTGTGACCTCCTGCAATCCTACTACCCTGGCCGATCACTCCGCTCAGCAGCACCAGCTGGTTTCACATCTCTCACTATTTTTCGCATCTCTCTGGAACTCTAAACTGGAGTCCCTCTGCCTCGCTCCCTCACTCCGACCTTCCAAACCAAGGGTTGCCCTCCACATTGAACAGCACAATACAGCAATATCAGCTTTAAGCATTGCACTTGAGGATACTGAACTGCTTATAAAACAGGCTCAAAAATATTCTGGGAGTTACGAAATTACAGTTGCTAAGGAACAGAAAGGTGTGTGGCAGCATGACAAAGGTTCAAGCACACACCCTCTGTGTCTCTCCAGCAGATGTCTGGCTGCAGGTTAGTGGCCATTAAACATGGTTACTTCAGAACAGCACAGATTGTTCTGAAAACTAATAATGCTGACCAGACTGCATTTATGAGCTGAAGGTTATCTTTTCATTAGCAAGAAGCTGTGAAGAGACATCTTTCAGCATTAGCTTCAGCACTTTGATTTATGCGAGCACACATAAAGGTGGCAACGGGACAAATGAATGATCTGATGATCTATGCTGCTTTTTCACAGGACGCGTTTGTCTCCTGAGCGAGACTGTCATTGGGGGAACATAATGAAAAACAACCTGCTGTCTCCGCAGACAGACCTGTCCATTCCGTAAAGAAAATAACCACCCCATAGCAACTGGACCTGACACTGTAATAATATAATCCTTATGGTGCCATCACATCAGGAGGACGTCTTGAAGAGCTTCACGGTATTTACTGTAAAGTGTAGTATTTTTTAAGGTGAACACAGCAGTCAATTTGCATAGTCTCAGAACCAGCCATGTAGTGAATGATCAATTTTATTTTGGGGATTGTTTGTCAGGACACTGGGAAAAACTCTTCTATTTCTGAATAGTGTCAGGGGATCTTCGACATCCACCTGAACAGGTAGATGGGAGTTTCGTTTTAATGCGTCATCTGAAGCACAGCGCCACCTCAATGCAACGCAACCGCAATGATCCTGGAGTGTCAGCTTAGACTACTAAGAGTTCAAAGTTCCAACCTGGAGCTTCAACCCACAGTTTTCTGGCTCTGAGGTGATTATGCTTCCAATGAGCAATGAGCCTTAAAGTGACACTATTAGTCTCGCATGCGTAGAGTGTAATTTTTTGCAAAGAGCTCCCAGAAGTCCAGCGACGTTATAAAAGTGTCAGAGGCTTGGAATATCTCTAGTTGAGCACCACAGTTCAGCTTCTGAAGCAGGGTATCAAAGCAACATTAATAACCGACCACTGAAGCACTCTCCTAAATCCCTCTACCTCACACCCTCCTTCTCTGCTTTCAAAATGAGTCTAAATACCTCTCTTTGACAGCTCCTTTAGTCAGCTCCCTCTCACTCCCCTAATTCGCATTCTGCTCCCACTCCATCTCTGTAAATTCCAGACACAGGGAAATTTCCATGTGCAGATGGTGAATGTATGTGGAACCCTCTGTCTGGTTTGGATAATCTTAAGCATGCATGGTGATGGGCTTCCACGTGTGTCAGGCTGACCAGAAAATAAATCTTTGTAATAAAGTGGTCTGAAATGTTTTCTATTGTGAAAAGCTATGTTGCTGACGGTGCAAGAAATTATAACAAAGAGCAAAAGAAATCTGCATATAGTTGTGAGTCACTGCATGCGCTGTAACACAGTAATATGAAGTATTCAACACAATTTTATATTCAGCAACCTTACAAAGAATCACAACTAGTTACTGAAAGCCACTTTAAACTGGGGCATGGTGTCAGGTTCTATTCGTGTCACGAGTAGTTGCATTCCACATAGTGTTACGATAAAGGACAAATATAATACACTTTGTGGAAGACAGACAGAAGTCTCACTGGGTTCAGAAGGAATACTTGCCAACTGTCTGGTTGGGATGTTGATAATCTCGCCAGTTTTAAACTCAAGCACATAAGGACTTCAAATCAGAGCAAAACTCAAGAGCTCCTCATGTGAGAACATATTTTCCATTTCCTCCACTTACAACAGAGTCCAACACTCATAAGAGGGCTCAAGTCTCTATGTGCTCAGTCTCCTCCAGGTCCTGATCACTAACTGGAATGCTCTATAAGAGCTGTCAACATTATGGAAATGGCAGGACTCCGATTCATAATTACATAGACTGAGGCTCGCAACCCCCCACAGACACAGGAAAGTGCTCCTTTTTCAGAGTGAGAAACATTAGAATAGTTTACATATTTGAATCAAGATAAATAAGTCTCACTTTGAGTGAAACTTGACAAGCCTGATACTTGCTTTACCTTAAATAGATTCCCTCCATATCGCAGCACTCCTCTAGGAAATCTGCCTCTTATACTATTCTTATAAGCCTCGCATTTGTTATAATACCTTTCACATTGGAAAGACAATTCAAAGCTCTTCTCAGGATTCACTGTGAAATGCAGTGACTGTGTATTTTATAGACAAACAATGCATTCAATTTAGCAATGTCCCACAAAAAAACATGAAGTTTATCTTTCCTGGACACTGTAACAACTCACCCACCAGGAAGATTCATCTTGCAGCAATGACAAGCATACTGATAGCGTGACCTCGCACTCTCACCTTCATTAGCAGTGACCCTGGTGTTCTTAATGTACGCCGAGAACTTTGCAAAGATATCATTCCCAGCTGTGTTCGATTCAGGCTGCTTTGCTGCAAGCTTGGGGTACCTGGAATTGGACAGATCCTAATTCAGAAAGTGCAAAATACTGTATGCCTTTACCTCATATCTTCACCTTTGAGGAATCAGTAACCAAGAAAATACATAGAAGTAGATTATTATCTCAACACAGAGACTGCATCTAATGTGAAATAATTAGATGAGAAAAGCAACATTGTAAGTGATAGCTATCATATCTTGGAGCCAAAGAATTGTGCTGAAGTGGGGGGGTAGGGGGGAGAAAAATGAGGGGCTGTTCACATCCAAACTTGTCAACAATTAAAGCCTGTTTTCATCTACAATCACCAGCGATGGTATAATTACCACCAGTGATAATGTGATAATTATCACAGGTAATAATTACCACATCACTGAAGCACATGTTTCATCCAATCTTGATTTGTTTTCTTTTCAGTTTGCAACCTGTTGTTTTCATAATGGTGTTTTGTAAGCAACTTGGCTTCTTTGTACATTCAAAAGGACGTGCATGTAATTTTTTTTAAAGAACCACATAAAATTGGTTTGCAAGTTGATTGAATTCCAGATGTTTTTCCAAAAAATCCCACACAATCTTAAAAGGTAAGTCTTAAGGCTAAATCTCAGGATCTCTGGAGTCTTTAACACTGTCTGAAATTCTACATCTGAAAAAATATGAGAAACTGCTTCAACTTTTACAAAAAGTCTTGGCAGCGAAATTTGCTATAAACACTTTTGTGGAGTATAAATGCCAGCTGGACTGGATGGGCTGAATGGCCTGTTTCTGAGTTGTACTTTAAAGTAACACCGTATACACGGTGCAACATTTTATCTCAACATCTTACCTTTTAAACCATTTAAAATGAGTGTCATGCTTCCATTTCTTTCACATTTATTAAGCAAAACGGTTTGGTTTATTTGCAATCATTCCTGTAACAGTTGGTGCATTCTTTGGTCTGAATCATAGTAATAGTGACACAATAAAATCCCCACATCTTCACCTGAACCAAAATAATAATAATCCTTGCATTTGATATAGCGCTTTTCACGGCTTTAGACATCTCAAAGTGCTTCACAGAATATACTGTAAAATGAATTGACTGTATATTTGTGGGCGAAATGTCTGCACACCTCTCACCCCAGTCATCACCAGGCTCTAACTATCACCCTGTCTCTCAACAGATTAAACTCCTCATCCTTATGTATAAATCCCCTCATATCCTAGCACCTGCCTATCACTATTATCTTCTCCTTCCCCACTGTTCTGCTACCCCCACCCCCAGCTGTTTGGTACTTTATGCCACTATTGTTGGCCAAGCTATCAGCAACTAGATCCCTAATCCTTGGAACACTCTCTACCTCACTGTCCTTATCCCCTCCTCATCTGTCTTCATTTTGTCCTAAATACCTACCTCTTCAATTGCAGCTTGGTCAACAACAACAACAATTTGCATTTATATAGTGCCCTTCAAGCGGGGTAGTGTCACAGAGCGCCTAACAGTGGCGGAGCCTGACACCGAGCCGGGGTGAGGGAGGAGGTGACCATAAGCAGGTCAAAGAAGAAAGTCATCAGTCGTGGTGTAAAAGACGAGGGGGAAAGCGGATAGATTGGGAGAGAGAGTTCTAAAGCTTTGGGGCGTAGTAGCTGAAAGTGCGGCCGTCGATTGTAGAGCGGAGAGGACAAGGGAACTACTCTATCTTCCTTTGCTTGGCTGCTGACACAGTGCCTGTGAAGGGCTCCGATACCAGCAACACAACTTGCATTTTATACAGCGTGGTACATGCACGATAGTGTTACTTATACAACTGCAAGTTGTGGTTGACATAACACAAGTAATGGAGGCCGAATAACAAGGAAGTGGTGATGTTTTTGTTTCACTTAAGAAAATGCAAACATATGTAGCTTCTAGAACCTACTTTGGTGGCGAAAGCATCTCCTCCAGGAATTCTTCAATTTTGTTGACATCTGTCTTAACCTCTCCATTGAAAGTCAGGAACGGGGGATGAGTACCAGGAGCCAGGTTATGCAGATCAGCTGGTTTTCTGCAGAGAAATAGTAAAATGATTCATACATTACATTCCAAGCATTTGATACTACAGTAAAACAACAAATCCATCAATAATGCTGGAAACATGGTGGGTGGGTGGGGTGGAGACTGAGCTATGATGGAGAGATCAGTAAATCCCTCCAGTCAGAAGGATGGAACTATCTGAGCTGTAGATTTCTTTTTCATCAGAAACAAATGCATCCTATGACTGATTGACAGAAGGTAGAAATTGTAACAGGGAGATTCAGCTCCCTTCTTTACACCCAGCTGATGGAATGTCTCGCCACCATTTGATATTCCAACAAGCTGCCCGGCTGAGAAACAATAAACTGAGGCTGACTGAGACCTTGTCTGTGACTTCAACCGTGTCCCATTCAGATCAGGATTTGTTCTAAAACACTGAAGATGGATTTGGTAATTTTAAGAAATATATCAATCCTGAATTTCATATTACCAAAGCGACTATTAGCAATGTAGCTCCAGGAGCAGGCTTGATGTATTAAATAGAGTTATATTCTGCTTTGGCGAATTCTGCTAGTTAGAAAATGTAGAGGTCCTGCCTATAAAGGGGAAATACAAACAAACACTGTCAAGATCAATAACTTTATCAACCAGTGGAAAAGTGTGCCTTTAGAGTTAGTTGCACCACTTTAATCATGGAAGTTACATTGCTATGTTAATCACTTTTCACAGTGCTCTGTTTTGTAAAATTCCACACATCCAATAAACTAACTGTTTAGTAAAATAAATTAACACACGTGTCAAGTGCTCTCAAGTTAAAGCTAATCGGAGACTTTAGGCAGCACTGAAGCAAAGTTTTGAGAACTGGGAGGTGTGACTTTTCCCTTTACTTAAACTCCATTTCATGCAGATGTGATTGAGACCCAGAATTATGATCCTTTCACAATACAATAATTAACCCCGGTCATGACTCTCAATTCAATTCTAAATGATTCTTATTCCTCCAGCAAATTTGTCATGTCAGCATTGCGACAATGTGTACAGGCATGGATGCTATGTATAATAAAAAGCATAAAGTCGTAATATGACATGTTGTAATAGGAATCCCACACCAAATGAGTTTTTACATTCCTCCTTGTTAGGGACCCACATCTTCAGCATACAATAACGTATGCTACGAGAAGCAATCACTGGAGTGACTCCATTTAATTAACAAAGATTTATTGTGGCGAGTCCTATGGACAATGCTGAGAGCCACACTGGAGCAGGCAGACCCTTGGAAATCTTGAATCTTGCTGGTACTATGAAGTCGGTGCTTCCACATCAGCTTTTTATCTTTATTGTTACTTTCAATTCTTGTGGATGCACATAGTGCGTTTTAAAGTAAGAAGGACAGGAGTTCAGAAAAACAGCCAAAACTAATTTACAGAATCTCCAGTGCTCATCTTCCATATATCTTATACGTAGGGCTTCTGTTTTCAGGGTTTATTTTTAGTTGATTTTTAGCATTTTTATGTTGTAAAACTGAGGGTTTTTCCACTTACTTTTAATTGGTTTATTGGTTAAACATCGATTCCTATCTTTGAATCGGGGATGTTTTGTCGGGAGGTTTCGGTTTAAACTGAAAACAGAAGCTCTACTTATAAGGTGTCAGACTGACTCAGTTGGGATCACTGTCGCCTCAAGTCTAGGATGTCAATCCAATGCAGTAATGCGGATACGCTGCAATATTGGAGGTGCCATCTTTCGGATGAGAAGTTAAACTGAAGCTACTTCTGCCTATTCAAGTGAATGTTAATGGCAATACTTGAAAAAAGGAGGGAGTTTCTCCCGATGTGCTGGCCACCAATGCCTCAAATAAAATTGATCATTCACTTTATGCTGTTTGTGGGACATTGCTGTGTGCAAATTCGCTGTCACGTTCTTCTACAATTTACACAGTTATGGCACTTTATAGTAAACCCTGTGAAGCGCTTTGAGACATCCCCCCTGACGTGAAAGATGTTCTATCTACTATTAAAATTCTCCACATATATCAAAAAGTGTGACGTGAAATACTCCATGCTGCAAATTAAATGGAATGAAATTTAACCATTTACCGTTTCAGGTCAACTGTTGTAACGTTGAACACAACACCTTTCAGCCACAGAATCATGAAGAGTCGCTGAGAGAAGGGGCAATTCCCTATGCTCTCTCCATCATTCCCAGCCTGCAGGAGAAAAGAAAGCAATACTTTGTTATATCGTCTATATACAACATGCAGAACAGGCGAAACATTCGCCTTAACTTTATTTACTTAGATTCACAGCAATCAGTCAAAAGCCCGGTCAACATAACCATTTTGCATGTCTCGCTATACTACATTAGAAAATGCTTTCATGAACTCCTTAAAATTAACTCTGCCTTCCAAGGTTTAGTGCAGATTTTCGAGTGGCAATATCTTCAATATTTAAAATGCTAGAAAAGGTCTAAAAAGGGGAGGCATGTTAAAGGAACACTTTGTTTTGCTGCTTGGCAAGGACACAGGTACAGAAGAACAGTGCAACACTCTCATCTCAAGCTTACAGGACGGTGCATCTCAATGCAAAATCCTTTTCATGAAGATAAGACCCCTTTTCTGAATTCCAGTCGTCCAGTTGTTAATACTATATTGTAGCAGGTTTGTCCTGAGGATCATGGAGCAAGATCCACTGAGGATGCAGGCAACTGATCCATGGATGGGATTTAATCCCGCAATGAACCCTGGAGGAGCTCGATGTCACATGGCAGTATGGCAGTGCAAAGCAGGGAAGGAGGCAAAAGTGAGGGCTGGTTAATTGGTCTTCCTCAACAATGCCCCCAACATCCTTCTTCCCAATGGATAACCCGGGTCCTGCCTGCTGAGAGCACTAGTTGGTGTGGGCTATAAGAGGAGCACATGGGGTTTCTAGAGTTGGAACACAGATTAGGATACTTGGGTGAATTTCACGTTTGTTTGCTTGACCTTCCCAACATACAGTTTTACAAATATCTTTATTAAAAGCTGTGAATTTTGATCTCAACATCTCTGGACTACAGCCTTTATTCCCTTGAAACCCATACAACTGCTACAACACACATCCTTAGCTAACTTCAGCACGCTACGTACCGTATTTCTCCCTAAAGTGATCTGTCATGTGATCCCACACATTTGAATGGGTGAAGAGGGGAATGGGTGAATGAATAGTGGACACTTCAGTTAGTTATGGAAAGTAACAACGTAAACATATCTGATTGATTTACCAAGTTACAATAACACAGTTAGTGCCAATCACATGACCTACAGCCTCTCGGGCTGACAGGGGACACAGAAATAAGGAACAGCTGAGTCCTTGTTATAGCACCATTTTCAATCTGCTGAAGAGCAGCTGAAACCTTTACTCCCCACAGATATCAGAGCACTGGAGACTGTGGCGGAGGTAGTTGTCATACTGGGCAATACAGCTTGAACTAATTTAATTGATTTTGCGGCTATCCCGCAGGAACAAATTGTGAACTTAATGAAATATTAATATAAGAATCCCAACACAATTCAAATTCTACATTGCTGTAATGAAGCTCATTTGGATTTGAGAGCCATTGCAGGAGTGAAAGGTTATTATTTCCTACAATGAGCAAATTAGAGAGGAGAGGAAGAAGAAAGACGAGAGGGAAGGGGAGAAGGGAAGGGAAGAAGGGAGAGAGAAAGGGTTGGGGGAGGAAAGAAAAGAGGGGAGGTAAAGAGGGGAGGGATAAGGAGAGAAGGGTGTTGAAAGGGGTGGGAAAGAAGGAAGGAGAAGAAGAGAGGGGAGATGACAAAGGAGAGGTGAATAGAGAAAGGATTGAAGGAGAAGAAGAAGGAAGCTTTGTCTCCCTGGAGTGAAATGCCTCTGAGTAGACTTAGCAAGAGTAGGTATTATCAACCAAAGGCATTGTTGTTAGTTGACAAACCTACATAACTCAGCTATATGACTTAGAGATGTAAACAAGTCCTCCTCCCCTTGAGCATACATTGTGGGAATTATATCACTGGTTTGTACCTGAAAGCCATTACCATTTTATGTTCATCAAACACAAGAACAAGGAGACACATTGATGAAGCTGCATAGAAAAGTGTATGTAAAAGCATGATCATCTGAACCAAGGCACAAATACTGTATTGCCAACCCTGCACTTCAACTGATGACAAACCACTGTAGGACTTCAGGAGATGTGGCTTTGGTTCAAAGTCTATGCTATCCCAGTTAGGTGAACAGGAAGGTGTTATGGTGCCATTCCATGTATTAAGTGGGTGCAAGACAACAAGCTTGTTTATACATGAATTGAAAGATGGTTTCTACATCCAGCAGAGATATCTAAACTTATCTACATCCAGCAATAGAGAGAAAAGCAAACTGAAGTAACTGTTCAATAAACAATATTACTCAAGATGTAATACACATGGTCTCTGGAAATCAACAACAAACACCTGCATTTATATAGCGCCCTTCACACAGGTAGAGTCTCGGAGCACTTAATGGTGGCAGACCTCGAAACCGAGCTGGGGCAAGAAGGGAGGTGATCAGAGGCACGATCGAAGAGGAAGATCTTCAGATAGGATCTGAAGAAGGACAGGAGGGGAAAGGCCCAGGGATTGAGGGAGAAAGTTGCAAAGTTTAGAGGTGTTGTGGCTCAAAGCATGGCCACTGATGGTGGAGCAGAGGGGACGAGTGAAGTGCAGAAGGCCGGAGCCAGTTGTACAAAGGTGGTGGAGTGGGGTGTAAACAGATCGGAGAGTTAGGGAGGTACGAGGGTGAATTGAATTGTAAGCAAATGTGAGGTTCCTGAAATTGATCCATTCTGCACTAAGGAGTCAGTGGAGTCTGGTAAGGACTGGACTGATGGGGGTGGGGTGGGGGTGCCTGGAATTTTGGATCAGTTGGATTTTTTGGGTGATGAGAGCTGGAGAGACTGGTAAGGAGGACACTGAAACAAGGACACAAGGTGGGAGGTGAGGAATGGAAAAATGAACGTTTCACCTGCACAGGTGCAAGGTACGGTTGGAGGCAGGCGATATGGCGGAGGTGGAGGAAAGCGGTCCTGGTCAGGGGCTAGATGTAGGGTAGGAAGGACAGCTGGGGATTGAACCTGATGCCTTGGTTACACACAGGTACAGTAAGTCTGAGGTATAGGCCGGGGAGGTTAAGGAGGTCAGAGCCGCAGAAGACATTGACGGGAGCCAAGGAAGATGGCTTCCGTGTGGTCAACATTCAGCTACCAAAACTTTGCGCTCATTCAGGCCTCGATGTCTGACAAGAAAGAACGTTGGTGGATCTGAGGTCACGGTTGGAGGAGGAAAAGTAGATTTGGGTGTCATATCAAATCAATTAGCAAATACCCCGGAAGACTTCAATTCACAATGAGCGAACATGTATACCAAAAGAAAAGCCCTCCACTGCTATTATCAACTTATGAAGCATTGATTCGCCATGTAAAGTCTTCTCTTCCTCCTGCAATCTACAATTGATGAATAAATAATCCTTGCATTTAACATCACACCTTTCACAATGAGGATGTTTCAAAGTGCTTCACAGGATTTACTTTTATATGTAGTATGGTGACTGTGTATTTTTAGGGTGAATGCAGTCATCTGTGAAACAAAGTCTGGCATCTATCTTGTCTTCTCTCCTACTCTTTTGAACAGGAGTGATTTTGTTTATTACTGTTGGGCCATTACTTTAAGAGGTAATAAAAAAATTTTTTTTTTAACAAGCAGCATAGACCTAAATAGAATGTTTAACATGAAAATAACATGGCAGCAATGCTAAAATCTCACTGTTATTCATGCACAATGTCACCACAAAGTGAACAATACTGGCGTATTCCTGGTTTGTTCTCTTACTCTTTAAATAGAACATGATTCACTATATTCACACTGCGTGAGTGTCAGCTTGGATTACTTGATTGTACTCTCACTTCTGGGTCAGAAGGTTGTAGGTTTAAGACCATGACAGAACATGCGCTCATAGTCTCGGCTGCTATGTAGTGCTGTATTTGGGAAGGGCTGCATTATTAGAGGGGATGTCTCTCAGCTGTATCATTACATCATGGAGTCCTGTAGCTAAGTGATTATAGCACTCGCCTCGCACGCGAGAGACCTGGGTTCTATTCCTGGCAGGGTGAAATGTTGGGCAGGTTTCCTTATGCCACACGCCTCTGTTTACCTAGCAGTAAGTTGGAACCAGTTGTTAGTTGATTGGTGGATCGCTTTTCCGGGGATAATAATCCCTCAAAAGAAATTATAATTTGGTCACTCAATCCATGATTGTTTGTGGGACACTGCTGTGCCCAATTGGCAGCTGCATTTGGCCTAAAAATATACAGTCAATTCACTTTACAATATATTCAGTGCCTTGGGACATCCTCCCAACGTGAAAGGCACTATACAAATGTAATCTTGTTGTTGTTATTGTATTCTGTGAAGCGCTTTGAGATTCTAGAAGATGTGTAAAGCGCTATATCAAATGCAAAGTCTGCCTGTCCAGAGGTGTGTTAACAACAACCTGCATTTATATAATAATATTAATAATAATATTCCTTGCATTTGATAATAGGGCCTTTCACATCTCTGAGGATACATTCTAAAATGGATTGACTGTGTATTTTGTGGGTGAATCATGGCAGCCAGTTTGCCCACAGCAGCCATGGAGTGAGTGACCAAGTTTACTTAGGGAGGGATTTGTTGGCCAGGACATCGGGAGATATTCCATTCTCTTTTCCGAATAGTGCCATGGGATCTTGAATACCCATGTGAAGAGGCAGCCAAGACCTCGGTTTAATGTCTCATCCGAAGGACAGCACCTCCGACAATGCAAACCCCCCTCCAGCATTGCATTGGAATGTCAGGTTACACTATGTGATCCCAAAGTGGGGCTTGAAATCACAGCCTTCTGACTCAGAGGTGAGAGTGCTACCACTGTGCCAGGATAACAACACACACGTAGTATAACATTTTGGAGTGTTGTACAGTCGAGGGATTAAAGTGGAGTCCAGTACAGTCAATTCACCCCATGGCTGTTTGTGGGATCATGCTTGCCTGTAAAAATAGTCACTCCACTTGATAGAAATTACTTGTAAAGTTCTTTAAGACATTTTGAAGTGATAAAGTGCCATAAAAATGCAAATTCTTCCTTTAATTGTGTTCCTATTATCTTCCAGTCTTTCAGTTTAGAC